GAATACATGTTAAGACATATGTCAAGGAGTGTCATTCAGTGTATTTGTTAATTTAGATTACTTTCAATTAAGGCGAACAGAAAAAAGTTGTGGTTTTCCACCAGGACAATGCTAGACCACGCACTGCAAGAATCACTCAGGAAACAATAGCGCGACTAGGATGGGAAATTCTACCTCACCCTCCGTACTCGCCAGACCTTGCTCCAAGTGACTATCATCTGTTTTTGGCCTTGGACAACCACATGAGGAATCGGCGATTTGAAAATGAAGTGGCTTTGGACAACGAACTAAAACATTTCTTTGATTCCCAGAAGCAAGATTTTTACAAAAATGGATATGTTCTTGTGTCTAAATGGGAAAGTGTATTACTTGCTGAGGGTAATTATTTTACGGGATAAATCCAAGTTTAACCCGTTTTTTATGTTATTATTTCGCTACCTTCAAAACCGCACGAACTTTCTTTCCAGGGCCCACGTAGAAGTAATGCAAAAATCCTTCATTTTCGGGCCTCATCAGTTCTTTACATCTTTCAATTGAAGCAAATTATTATCAGTACAACAAGAACGCATCGCATTTTCCATTTAATTCCTCCTTTTGTTAATTCTAGAATTCTATTCAATGCAACCCGAAAGGTGAAATGAGTCATGAAAGGGCTTTTAATGACATCCGTGCAGCGATGCGCGTGAACTCAGCTCAAATAATAAATTACTCGAATATTGCGCATTTCCGTTGAAAAAGTTGGTTCTCGTGCTCTGGCGTTGACGCAAGCAGTCGATTCAGAGTGTAGTTCCGGATTTTATTCGCCGGATGAATGCGGACTAAAGCAATAACAATGAGCACCACCAAGTGCTATTGTGTGACAACGGAGTTAATGGACAGCGAAAACGCAACATTACGTTTCCGCGGGCCGAAAACGGAAACTTGCACTTGTTGAAAAGAATTATTTTTGCAACCGGATTCTAATATTCAGTATGCAATTGTCCACATACGTATTACTTAATGGCGCCTTTTTACTGGTGTCAATGAATGATTTCATTATGCTGTGAAGGCGACAAACTCAAAAGACTGGAGAGTGGATGACCCTCATTTCTTTGTTGAAATGCTCATACTTGTTACGGCTCCAAGCACAATACCTTTCAAAAGGCAGTAACGCTCAGGTGAATGATCGTTTCACCCTTTAGTGAACGATCGACGGATGCGGAAGTTGAGGAGGAGAATCAGGATTACTTATGCGGTACTGACGTTTCACTACAATGGCTTCTGCAAACATTAGCCGACAAGTTCACGAAACAGTTTGACGAAGAACCTCAATGGATCACAGAACGACTGAATCGACCACCCAGCTGGGATGGCATGTTTTACATATATTCTTTAGTTTCCTGTTTTCCTTTCTGAGCAATACTTATGCGGCCGTCCCTTTATTTCACGGCACATCATCCAAAATCTTCATCAAAATGTTCATATTGATCTACACAAGGGGGGGGGGGGGAGGAGGAGGAGCACATTAACATTGGGGAGCTTTTTTTCAATCTGGGATGGGACGCTTGGATTTTGGTAGACGTTGAATGGGGTCGTAATTGAAGCAGCAGAGAAAAGGGAACGCTCTCGCCGAACAATCGACTCCCTTCATCATTGCAGAGTTCCCTGTGTCGGTCATCAACCCCAGCTCACTTTCAAGGAGTTGATCGCAAGTATAAGGTCCTACCCTCAATGCGCCTCATATCACCAGCATGCGTGAGACGTGGTATTGAGTAGTGGAAGTTTCCTGGCTGATACGGTTTTTTCACCTTCGATAAAGACATTAGACATCCTGGCCTTCACAACAGCTGCTCCGTTTCTTTAGCATTAGGTCTCTGAATGAACGTCCCAAGGATATACGCCCAAATGTGTTGCCTTGAATTTTCCATGGAAATCATCTTCCAGAGGGACAGAGCAGCTTCCGGCGCTCTGTCCCTCTGGAAGATTCCCGATCCCGGATTTCTAGGCGGTTTTCCTGAAACGCCACTCAGGAAAAACCGCCTAGAAATCCTTTCACTGATACTTGTCGGGACCGCTACCTGATCGAAAATTCGAGTTTATACTCTCGTTTGTCCGCACTTCTATTAGGTTGTCCGGAAAGTTCTCAGCGTTTTGGGTGTTTCACTTTAAACGATCGTAACTTTTTTAATACTCATCGGATTTAATCGAAATAGGCACCAATCAGCACACTTTTGCCAATGTGACAGCAGTCGAGAAATCCCATCAAAGTAAAAAACTGGGTGGTCGAAAATTCACGAAATCCACTAAGGCTTTTTGCCTGGTCCTGATTGAGTATTTTCCAGCAAGGGAGTTCTGAAAATGTTAGAAAAGGTGATAGTCGGTTGGCGAAAGGTCTGAAGAATATGGCGGTTGAGGTAGAACTTCAACCCCCAATTCGTTCAATTTATGGATAGTGATTTGTGAAACGTGTGGGCGGGCGTTGTCATGCAAAGAATCGGACCCTTTCTTTTGATAAGTGTTGGCTGCATCTGACAAAATTTTCGGTACAATTCGTCGATTTCTTCACAGTAGGGTTCTGCTGTGATGGTTTGGCCTGGTGATAAAAAGTTATAGTGGATCACACCAGCCGATGACCACCAAGCCGTGACCAGAATCTTTTTTTCGTGAGGGTTCGGCTTTGAAAATTACCTCGGTGGTTCGTCGAAATCCAACCACTGTCCGGAACGTCTCCTGTTATCATACATGATCCATTTTTCATCACAGGTGACAATTCGGTCCAAAAAAGGTCGTTTCTGTTGCGCAAAAGCAATGCAGAAGGAACCTCGAGAAGAATGCAGAAGGAATCTCAGAAGCAAGCCGATTCCTGCCGGTCACTCCGATTGTGGGGCACCCAATTGTCGAGTTTTTTCACCTTCCCAATGCGTTCCAGACCATCTGCAACAGTGGATTTGCCAACGCCTAGCTCTTCTGCTATCTCTCGAACTGTTTGGGATGGGTCAGCCTCCAAAATCCCCCTAAAATCCTCGTCAGATATTGCTTTAGGTCGACCGCTATGAGGTTCACCTTCAAGGCTGAAATCTCCAGAACGAAATTTGTTGAGCCATTGCCGCACAGTGCTTTCTCTAGCACTATTGGGCCCCCACACCTGGTTAATTTGTTGAGCTGTTTCGATTGCGGATTGCCCCCAATTTATAGTCGAAGAAAAAAATCGTCCGAAGTGCTCTTTTCACATGCTTGAAAAAATCTTGAAAAAAGGGGGTTTAGGGGTGTTTCGCGCAGCTCGTAGTACTGCGCAAGAAATCCCCATCGCCAGATCTCATGAATCCCGAGGACTTCCGAAACAGTTCAATAGGTTTTTAGAAAGAGCAAGTCTTCATACACTCGAATCCGTTCTCAGATTTGTGAAATGTTGAGTTACAAAAAATATATTGATTCAAACCTGTTCTGAAAAAAATCCCCATCGATCCCTATCGCATACTTCTCTGTGATCTTTGCGGCCTTTCATAAAAACGTTTCAGTACTTTTAGGAAGTGCAAACCTTCCTCTACACGAATACGGTCTCCTCTTCCCCACAGGTCCGCTTTTGAGGAAGTTATGGTCCTTCAAAGACACCCCACTTTGCTGAAAACTCGCGTTCCACATGGCTGGTCCTGCCCAGAATCCCTTCCCCGGTACCTCGCGCCGCCGATTCATGACGGGTGCGCCGGGCCAAAGTTACTCACAGAGGTTACCTCGTCTTCGTTTCCGACCGCATCCTCGTTCTGCCTCATAGTTCCGTATTTACTGCTTCCGTGTTTACTCTTTTCGGATTTATTTTGAAATATCTCGAAATATTTACCTCTCTTCTCCGTTTACTCGACATATCGAATATTTATCTTCTTATCAGATTCTAACTCGAAACGCGCTCACGAAGCGCGCCCCCTACAATATTTGCTTCGGAACCGGCTCGTTCAGAGTGCTTTTAGGAGAAGTTGGCTTAATTTCCTGTTTTTTTCTTTAAATTGCAATTGATTCAGGTACCAGAGTTTGTTTTGACTCGAGGAAAGGTGGGTGAAAACCTAATGGCCTTTCTTTTCTATTCTCTTTTCTGAATCAGGATAGAAATGAGCAAAAAGCGAGGGGGGCCTTGTTCAGGATTGTCACTTTTTCTATTTTTCGCGCTTACTTATACATGAACTTATGAAGTTTCTTCCTTCTCGAAGGGGGGAGAAACTTCATAAGTTTATGTATAAGGGGGGGGGGGGTCGTACCGAACCTCCAAAAAGGGGGGTCGTACGGGCTCGACCAAAATCCCCAACAACTAATGCTGTGCCCTGATTTCAAGGCAGGTGTTGGGAAGGAGAGAGGGGTCGTACCGAGGCCCTCACTTAGGTGGCGACTCGTACAGAACCTTCTCCTGGAGGGGGGGGGTCGTACATACACCACCACCTCACACTACAACCTGTTAGTCATATTGCTATCAACATTAGGCTGCGCGGACTGTGATAATGGTGCTCGGTACTGATTTCGAATTTAACTTTCATTCTCAGAGTTTTTATTATTGACCGATGTTTCATCATGCATGTGCATCATGGAATGAAATCGAATGAGAAAAAAATCGTAATAGAGTATGTGAAGACAGTATAAGGTGAAACTTGCATGATGGCACATCGAGCGCGAATAAGCACTTCTGGATCGAATTTCAAAGTCAAAATTGAAATGGAAATCAAGAAAAGCCCAAAAAAATCAAAGGAAAGCATTTGGGGTACAGTAGATTGGAGCGCGCTCGTAATTGTAGCGCCGTTGCGAAGCCTGAACGGTACTCACTAGGTACTAGTTATGTTGGACCATTTGGAACTGTGCATTCTTCGTTGCCTCTGAGCCTGCAAAGGAGCGGTCCTGAGAAATAGACTTGGATGGAATGGTTGTCTGGCAAAAATGGTAAAGAATATCGCAAACAGTAGGCCATCTCAATGTTGGTATGAATCAATTTTACAAAGTTACAAGGATTTGGAAGGAACAGGAGATCGTGGCGTATGACAATGAATGGCCAAGGAAAAGAGCACCTGAACAAACCTGATTTTGTTAGATCAAGTGAGGGTAAGTGATGTCCGCCAACTAGCAACAGTTTTATGCTGTGGAGGCTGACAGAATCACGCAAGGCCCGACTCCATCAAAAAAAACTCGAGAATAAGGCGCTTGGATCCAACTGCAGTATTACCGGCAGGGTACCGTAACCCAAAGTGAGGTACAGTGAATTGTAAATCTGCTAATCAGATCCATTAAGATATTATATATCCTTATATAAACGAGAAGTTTTTTTGTGTTTGTTGGTGTGTCTGCATGTCTAGGATGTCCGCTCAAAAATGTGGGCCACGTGAAATCACTCTAGGGAAAGGGTCATGCTTGTGATGTGACATAGGCCAACATTTACGGAGCACACACAAGTTAACTGAGCTCGGCCCACAATGGGCGGGGCATGCGTCAGAACGGACGGTGCCGAGGATGAAACTTCTGAATAGCATCCAGAGCAGCACAAGGAATGCGGAGTATGAGTGAAGATCAGCAGTTAAGTGTCAGATGAAATGAAAAAGAGACAAACTGAGTAAGTGGGATGTGTATTGAATGCGTGGGGAGGGGGCTCGCAGCGACAGCTGGCAATTCGGTTTCGAGACATATGAGAATAATGTGAACAAGGTATGAGCAAGGGCACATGGGGCCAATATCGGAAATTCGTGATTCGCCATGAAGTTGGAACTGAGCGGTCTGACTGCCCCTCAGTTAGGAATGTCAGGGGAAGTACCCTTTTTACACGCATAAAGAGATCACCCAGCTTTGTCGGGCGATCCTGGTAATTGATCAACTGTGAAGGGAAAAGGAAAGATAGAATTATTGGAAAGATCATTCATCGCTTTGAAGCTCATTGGCAGGCGATTGGGTGCTATTTCCCCTCCTACAGAAATGTCTTTCTCTCGAATATGAAAACTGCTCAAATCTCTTCACGATGATGCTAATTCAGAATATGCAACGTCTACTGTTTTACGAGTGACATTTGGCTGGGAAGACGAAGAATTGCCGAAGAGCGTTGTGTTAAAAACCCCCGCCCATAAGACCCAGCAAAATGATGAAGAGGCAAAGTACCACTACCTCATGTTTAAACGGTAAACAATCCATTCATTCACTTCTTACACTCTCATTATCTTATTCAATCCATTTTTGAAGGGAATGCAACGTATACGACTGGACGCAAAAATATTCTAAATTACCAGCGCCGCACATTTACCACATAAAACGGCATACGAAGGAATTCAGCGGAGTGGTTGTGATGGAAGACATTGGAGAACGTGGAGTGCAACAAGACGCAGTAAAAGGCCTCACAGTAGGTAAAATATGACTAGGAAAAAAACCAAATAGCTCAAAATCAGACTTCCTGGAGCTTTTTCTCTTCCTATGTTCATTTCTTGCTCATTTTCACTTCGAGAGAGAAAAGAAGTTATTTTACTTAGACTGTATAGACATGATTCTCACTTCATTAGTATACATTTTTCAAAACTGCTGGAGTGGTCTAGTTAGAGTCAGCAGTTCAGCGGGGTATGACACGTACATAGGTGGCCGTATGTACAAGTGGGTGTTTACCACGTCGCGACACCCGGGCAGTTTGATTGCAGCAAAAGGCGGTCGCCAGCGCGGCGGCCTACGACGCGCTCACGACGCGGCGATCAGCTGTTTCCCACTATTTAGCCATCTTCTTCCCAGTTTTCACTGTTCTTGGTTGCTTTTCTTGAACTTAGTCGTTCCTCGTCTTCGCAAGGCAATTATGATTGAGAAATTTCTCTAATTTTTCGCAACCTTAAAGGCACATTCCGCGATAAAATAAGGCTATGACCTCTCAAATGTGTCGGACGATCCGGAAGGCGATTTTTGAGGCTGCGCTACTTTCAAAATGTGAAAAACGGCAAGAACTCCGCTAGAAGCTGACTAATTAGGCCCATGGACACCCCTTAGGCCCATGCCGACCCTCACCGGCTGCTAGCTACTAGCTAGTAGCCACTATGTTATCTTTCTCTATAACATTTCGGACTGCTTTTTCTGCTGCTTTTCTCCGCTAATCAGATACTTAGCACTTTTTTGTGCCTATTTGAGTTCCGTTTCCCGCAATTTGCGGTCGCGAACTGTGCCTTTAAATAATTGAACGGACAATCAGACAAATACCTAAAAAATCGCAAAAACACAGATAATTACAAAAATAAAAAAGAGTGCTCGTCCCAATATACTTCATAAAGCCAAAAAACAACTTACCTTGGAAGAAAACAATTAATGCAATGAAAATTAGGGACAAAATGGATAAATAGGCTTTAAACAGCTGATTGCCGCGGTTGTGACGTGCGGAACCGCGTCTGCGACCCTTTGACCGCCTAATCAACTGCCCGGATGACGACTGTAGACCTGTGTGTAAATGGCCTCATTGAGTAGTTGAAAGACTCATCTTAGCCCATCCTGGTTCATGTTCCCGATCACGCCCTTACAGTTATTGGAGCTACGAAAGAACGTTGTATGCTCTTCCCGGCCTCTTCTGCTTCAACCGGTGCTGCTGTTCTTCTCTCTCTTTATCGCTTCTCTGCATTGCATTGCCATACCCACGTTATTTAGTAGTTGCCTGGCCATGTGGCTCCACTCTACTGCTTCTTGAGCTTTCCGGCTCTTTCATCTGAAGCCGAAACTTGCACGAAGGGGACGGCAGACGTGATGTGGTCGGTTTTGCAATGGGATTCTCCACCAGAAGACTCTCATGAGACTGAAGCTTCTGAAAATGCGAATGAATATGGATAGTTATAGTCAGCGTAGTTAATCACGCAGCCTTTTGCCCTGCTCGTTGTACTCCATTTCTAATGTAAAGTTTTTCAGGCATTTCTCTGACCATGAAGTCAAATTCATAGCGTTAAAACAAGATGAATCCGAAAAATGTCAAGTCTCCTCTGCAGTATTTCATCCTCCTCCTATTCCAAGCAATCCTCTGCAAGTATTTCATCCTCCTCCTATTCCATGCAATGCCTTCTAGCTACACCTCATCGTAGCCTGATTGTGCGTGGGGACGAAGACTGTCAGAGTCGAAGTTCAACCACACCTACTCGTGAACATCCTATTCCGTTCGTTCATTTTTCGTACGAATCGGTGACATTGGCTACCTTCCCGTAGCGAGGACATCAAAACCGCCAACGCCCCTGGTGGTGTCGGACGCCCTGAGGAAGAAAGTCGAAACTTCTTCTGTTATTTCGTGAATGGCATGACTGAACGCTCCGGTCCATTCGATGACGTCGACGACGTCGTGACGCTGGTGGTCGGTGCTGCAAATTATGAAAGCAGCCTAAGGATAAGAAATGAACGCTGCGCAGAACCATGATAATCTCCCCAAATTCTTTTAGTTTGCAT